CCTTCTCAAGTAATCGTTGAGCTTGAATGCAAGATACGAGACATGGATATTGGGGGCTCCTTAATCCCTTTGAATTTGAAGGGCTTGGTCATTGGAAATATTTAAAAGTAACCGTCTTTCCATGACAATTTATATTGACATGGTACACTTCCAACCAAATCCATTCGTAGTATGACATCAAAATCATGTATGTCTAAGAGTATAAGATCTGTTGGTAACTCTCTATTTAGCAATCTCTACAATACATGTTTAATAGACTGTGCTAGTGATCAAGTCTTTATTAGTTTGGGTAGAGACTACTAATATATATTCTAAAGGTGAATGTTCAATGTTCAAATGCTGAGCAAATTCATGTGATGCAAAAGAGTACGAAGATCCTAGGTTTATTAAAACTTTAGCTAAGGTACTAGAGATAGTGAGCATACCTTAGATTACATCATGAGAGAATTGAACATCTCGCTCTGTAATGGCATATACTCTTCCTTGAGTTGTTGGTCTGATATGCTCTTTATTTATAGGACACTCTTTGATCCGATGTTGAGTACTACAACATCTGAAGCATCCATTTGTCAACTTATAGTAAGGTCTGCTACCATGGTTCTTTCTAAAGTGGGATATATCTGTTCTGGTCCTTGTGTTGGGACTAAGAGATCCGTTTTATGCCTTTTATCAGGTTGTTGTGGCTCAATGACCTTTCTCTTATTATTTGGTATGAATGGTTAATCCCCTTAAATCTATTGTGGGACTAAACTTGTAGCATCTTCTACAATTTGGGCTCGTTCCAAGGCTTTTTGAATTTTTAAAACAGAGATCTCTTTACGCATGCCTCTCTAAAACTTCCTGACTCTTATGCTTCCATCTGCTACTAAGTTAGGCGCGAACCGAGCCAGCTCTATAAACTTTTCTGCATATTCTGCCACCTTCATATTCCATTGCTTTAATTCTAGGAACTTCATTTGCTTTTATTCCTAAACAAAGTTAGAAAAATACTTCTCATAGAATGCCGCTCCAAATACTTTCCAAAGGATTGGTGCCCTCAACGATCCCTTCTTCAGGCGCCATCAGTGTTCTGTAGCTCCCTTGAATATGAATGTAGATAATTGTACCTTTTGCTCTGAAGTGGCGCTGAGAACATCAAATATCTTCTTTAACTCCATGATTCTCTGTTCGGCTAATATCGGGTTAGTTGCTCCAGCAAATGATGGTGGGTTCATTCTCTTAAATCTTTTAATGAGTTTTTCATTATTTTCCTCCATCGGCTGGGTGTTACTGGTACTAGTATTATTATCGTTTGTAGCACTTTGGCTATGAACTACGTGTTGAGTTACCACCGTGGTCAAGCCTTCGACTACACGCATGAGTCTATCTAGACTCTGCTCGATCCGGTCTTCTGGAATCCAATGTGCTTGCTCTCTCGTTATCCTTGTCATTTTCTATATTAATGAAATCCAATTCTATCTAAGTCTTGTATAACCGTAAGTCTTGTATTCAAGGGATATCCTAGAATCATGATTTGATACCACTTGTCACGGACCACATCCCGTCTTATAAGGTAATGACTAAAGTATATTTCCTTAATCATATAGACTTGAGTTGAGTAAAATAACTTAACTTTATTAATGATAAAAGAGTCGCAAAAGTGTTACATCCCTTAAATATAAAATATAAACATATATATAAGACTCTAAATTTTCTTACTTACATTATTAAACAAAAATATGAAACAGTAACCTTAATATCATAGTCTAGGCTTCAGAGATTTCCTCCGTATCACTGCTCACTATGCAGCGATATCCTCTGTATCTGGAGGGTGATAAGGGTGAGATAAAATATTTCAATACGTAATATTATGACATCACAATATAATACATGCAATATATAGTTCTTTACACATAACAGAACATATATTATATAATTTTTCCAAAATAGATACGAATTAGAAGACGAAAGCATAAATCAGAAAATATATGCATGTTGTATACTTCATCACTATTATGAAGGATCAATCAGTTATTATACATTATGCATAGACACATATTTATCACTGATTTTCTATGTACTCGAACACCAAATGACATATATGAGTAATTTGAAATACTACTACCCCCCGAACACATAACAATTAGGGCACGCAGATTGGACTATTTTTTCATACACCCGAATACGGAGTGGTTGTGTATGGGTACACACTTATTACTTCGCCAACACCCGAATATGGAACAGTTATGTACGACTAGATTGAAGCCTAGCATAATGCAGGTGCTTTCAGATAACTTCTTTGCATAATGAGTGATGCACACATCAAAATTATATTTCAAAAAAACAAAGCGAAATAACATTTATAACGAAGTAAAACTTTAACAAATACTTACTTAACAAATATGGAAAACAAATTAAACATGTGCACATTTTTATACTGAAAAAACATAAAATATTTCAAAACTACGTAGGCTATGAATTCATAATATCTACTTACCTTAGGTCCTTAGCAATCGTAATTTTAATTCCAGCAGAGTTCCAGCTTTATTTATAATTTTTTCCTCTAAAAAATTCAGCAAAGTTTCAAAATGATTTTTTGTCACTTTCTTGACTAAAAAATATCCAACGCAATACTCAAAAACTAATCCCAAAAATAAAAGAGAAACCAAACTTCAAAACTTAAGAAAAAGTTTACATTTCTAACAGTTTATAGCTTCATTTTAATCGTGAGCCTTATTCTTCTTCTCTTTCTTTTTCTCTATTCTCACAAATTTAGCAGAGTTTCTCCAAGGTTTTTATCTAAAACATCAAAATACTCTCAAATATCACACATTTCGTACTTCCTCTTCTTCCTTCACCTCTATACTTCTTACTATTTTTCTCTCATTCGGAATGTCTCTTCTTCCCTTTTCCTATCTCCTATTTATAGGAGTGGGGAGCCACGAGAAAAAAGTTGTTACCATTCTATCTTACTATTTCATCTAAAAATTATCAACTTTCATCATGTCACTTCACTTAAAAGGTTACCACTCTTCACATGTCGTTTTACCTAAAAAGTCTTTTAATATGTCACTTCATTTAAAAGGTTACCACTTTTCATATGTCGTTTTATCTAAAAGAGCTTTTCACATGTCACTTCATCTAAAGAGTTACCACTTTTCACATGTCGTTTTATCTAAAAGACCTTTTCACATGTCACTTTATCTAAAAGATTACCACTTTTCACATGTCACTTCATATAAAAGTTGTCATTTTTCGTTATATTATTTTGTCTAATAGTGATCACTTTTCATTATACCACTTCATTTAAAATATTCCTAAATTTTTATGCTTATTCCAGCTTCTTCATTCTTATCCATCCTATTTCCGTTTGACTCTAACACTATGTTCTTAACCTAATTATATATTTTCAAACACATGTAAAACTAAATTAAATATATCAGATATAAGAAATTAACTCGGAGATATTTTCAAACTATCACATTCTCACTCTAGGCGATAAGGCATATAGATCGTATGAGATATTGATGATATTTATTAATTTCGGCTTATAAGAACTAATTTCATATAAGTGGCACTTAAGCTAAAAATTCATCTATAGACTGTTCATGTTATTTTTAAAAAATGTATTGTATAATCCATAATTGATAATAATGAACGAGTTTTACAATATTATACCAAGTTATTAAAAAATCTTGAATGCTCTTTTCGTTATCAGAATAAGAAAATTAAATATGAATAAAAAAAATTTAAGTACTTTAAAACCAAGTGATGATTTGACGATTTTTGTTATAATAATCTTTTAAGTGATTTACATATTTGGTATTATTTTTATATTTTTCACAAGATAGTCTGAATATATCTCATAATATGTTAAAGTTTGCACAACTAAAAATACTATTCTTTCTTGAATTAAAATATTATAATTATAACTAAAAATAGTATTAATATGTGATAAATAGCATATTTTTTTTGTTAGAAAAGCAAAATTTTAAAAAAAAAAGTGAATAGATAACATCGAATAAGAAAAGAAATAAGGTTGCAAGAGATCTAGAGGAGAAATTGCACTTGAGGTGGTGAGTACACTTTCAATAGTAAGCTAAACATGTAAGGGAGTTGGAGTATGTCACAAAGATGATTATAGAATTAAAACAAGCTAATTACTAAATAAAGGACTTGGGGCACAATTATGAATGGTTTAGAAAAAGTGAAAGGATGAGAGGCATAAAGCAAAAACTCTAATATTATTTTAGTTTGATAAAATCTGTGTCTCTCTATTAAACTATTTTGAGTAACAAAAAATTCTTATTTACACATGTATTTATTAGTTAATAAAAAAATAATATGTTCAAAAAATAATAAAGAATTTTGACATGTGCCTATTACTGATTTAAGAGACATAATTTCTTCATTAATACATAAGCGGATGTATCTCCAATTCTATTAATATTTTTTGTATGTTCGCTTTCTTAAAATTTTCATTTTATTTTCTTTCAAATTAAGCAAAAAAAAAAAAGAAAAAGAAAAAGAAGGAAATAAGATTTGGCTATTTTTATAACCAATGATTCTTTTTTTTTCTTTATAAAAATTAAATCAAATAATAATGAAAATGTTTGATTAACAACATTTGACTATAACTTTTACAAAGCTAAAATAATTTGAAACTAAACAAAAATATTAAAAATATTTTCGGTCATAACTGAAATTAAACTCTATAAGCACAGAAATATAGTTATCGTGATTTTTAAAAATTATCTATACATTAGATAGATACAGACAATTTATGAAAAGTATCATGATATAAAAGTTTATTAAAATATATATTCATATTTGAAAATTTTAATTTACTAATATTTAGTAACTTAATTTTTAAATATAAATAAAATTTAATATTTTAATATTAATATGAGATCCTTTATATTTATAAAATATTTTTTACTGTAAAAATAAATAATTTAATTAATATTTATTAATTAAAAAATAAATAATTTATATTTTTTTTTGTCATTTCAATATCTATAATTATTTTTTAATAAATAATAAATTTTATTCTTCAAAATAATAATATTTTCTATATTTATTTTTATTAAATATGATATAATTTATTACTAAAAATATTTTTTTAAAACTTTATTTTGATAACATTTTTACTACTGACAAAATATGCACAAGCTGCGCAGAACAGTGAAAATATTAAAGCAATAATTTAATTTTCTTTGTTTTTTAGTTATAATAAGACGTTTTTTATTTTCC